ACCTTGTCTCTGACTGTTCAGGTCTTTCCCCGACCCTCGATCAGTAATGTAATCTTTGGTTCCGTATCGTTTTTGTCTTTGTGCTTCGCTTGTCCTCAGTTCTTCTTGATTGCTGATTGGTGCGCGTTCCCGGCGACCAGAGTTCATCCCCGATTTTTGGAGTGTATCAATTTGAATTGGAGGTATGGTTTAGGGCTTCCTATCCTGGTCCGCACACTTTCTGCTTAGTTGACCCGTTNTACCCTAACTTGTTTGTGCTAGTATTGCATGCGGACTGCCAACTAGTCCGTATTGATTCACGTTCGTACCCGCTTCTTTCGATTTAGTGACTACACGCATCCGAGTGCTCGCGGTATTTCTGCCATTCTCGTCCGATCGAAATAAAATTTCTTGTAACATTTTCTTTTTACTCATGTTCCTCAAAGTTATCTTCAAGGTGGCTGTTTGCTATTTAGGAGAGTTGGTTCCTATTTTAAAATTCACCTAGTTGCGATATGATGCTTTCTGTTTGAGAATTCGGTTTTGGTGTATGTTAGGTTGAGAGTAGTTCTTTATTTTGATGATCCAAATTGGTATTGGGGGGCTTCTACTTGGTGATCTTATCTACGAATCATCCTTGGATACCAAACGAGAAGTTCACCTGATACTGTGGATGCAGTTTAGTGCGTCCATCGCGCCGTTCTTTTTCTGCAAACATAGTAACCAAACTCAATCGCGATTATCGATTTTAGATATGAAGTGATGTCCAAGAGATCACATTCCGAGGCTCTTGGTAACGATCCAGAATCCAGCGAGAGAAAACCGCGTTTGGATTCTGATGGTTCTTGTCCCACGGATAAAAGATTGCTTTCTGGCTCATCAGAGCCAATTTTGTTTACTCGAGTGCGTTCACTGGAGGAGTTAGACAAGCGCGCATTACAGTTGCAAAATAAAAAGCTATGGGAAGCCTGGACCGAACGACAAGCCGTTATTTTGGAACTACGGGAGCGAATCGAGCACCTTGAAAACCGCCAAGCAAAGGATGATGCCCTACTTTGTGTGATCAACCGCTATTGGAACCAAGTGAGTATTTGACAGGGGGATCGCTCAGTATCGCCTCCAGTGCCTTACGGTAGCAGTGCTTAGAGGGTCGTTGTATTCAATTTGTTCTTTTCATTGTGTTCTGCTTGGCAAATTCATCACTTAAGGTCATGTGTTTTGTTCGCCCCAACATGTTCCTGAATAACCATACTTTTAGTGTGACTAGGCACACTTATCATGATCATGACTGCAGTGAATATAATAAAATGGTTGAGGTTGGTGACCCATATAAATTCTACCCACTTATTTTGTTGATGAAATGAATAAGTTGGGGGGGGGGGGTTCACAACCGTAGTTTCACAAGAAAGTCGTGTGCACAACGCTGGCTGCGGTAACTACCCTATGACTCATGCTTTGGCTTGATGTCGATAGTCTTCATGCTATTAGGCTTGAGCCACTTCATTCTGGTGTTGAAAGAGCTATAATCAAGCCAAGTCATCAAGATACCAGAAAATTGCGAGGTTCCTCTTGTCATACGGATTAATAAAGGTCTTAGCACACCGCACACAAGGTCCAAAAATCACCAATCAGTGATCTTATCGTTAGTATAGTTCAAAATCATTAGCGGTGTTCGTCAAGAAAGCCGTATTTCGCCCTTTCGGTTTATGTTCGCTGTAAACGAAAGATTAGGATCACACTGCTTGGCTTACAAACTGTTAACATCAAATGGGAATTTAGGGAAAAGCTATGCGATTTGGAGCACTCTGACGACCTTGAATGTATGGAACGTATGGTTCGCGGAACACTTGACAGACTAAGGAGCCCAATTGCTCTATTGGGCTTGCTTTTTGTAAGACTGTATCGACTACACCGACCATAAAACTATATAGTCATATCAATAGTGTATCGCTTCTACTTGTATTTGAATATTAATAGTGTAGTCCAATGGTGGCAGCACGCAGATCCAAGTTTCGGGTGACCTACGCAGGACTGACGACGTTTCCTTAAGATTGACATACCATCTATCGTCTAACTTGTGAGTTCTGTTGTATAATTGCACGAGCTTGAGTTCGCGCACGGGAGGTCTTCGACTGTCGATAAGGGTAGGGTACTGCGAGTGACTTGCCAACGTCGTGTGTTCAAAAGTGCCTGGATGCAAAATTCCTCATCACAACTGATTAAGGTGAATGGATTGTTCAGTACTCTTATTGCGTGATTAGATGTCGCCGACCTCACCGCGTTTTGCAATTAGGTGTCCAGGTTGGAGAGAACAACATTGAGACGTGGTTTTCCATGTTGGAGTTCAAAAAGAAAACGAGTTTTTGAAGGCGCTTACGTACATGAAGGTCAATAAACACTCGTGTTCTTGTGATTACTTAGGTTGGAGTACTCGGACAGATGTGCACGCATATTTAGGTTGTATATCCTGCGTCTGGACTATAGAGATTCGCTTTCATTATTCTCCCCTCTGATCCACTCCCTAAACACCTTACGGATTTGTACTTGCTTTGGTTGAATTTCGCTCCCGGCGGTGATCAGCGAAGTTATCTTATCTGTATCTCGCTTTTTGATGGTGACAACAATTGTTGGACTTCAGCAGCAGTTGAGGCTTTATGACTGACGGCAGATAGCTGTCAGTCATTTGAAGAATAATATCAATATGTCGGGGTCATCGCCTTATGCTATGAAGCTGTTTTTCTACTTCTAAGAGAACTGTATTTGGTTCTTCAGCCAGGGTGTTTGAACCCTTGGTTGAATTTCGTAGTTTATGTTTGTCATTGATAGATTCCGTCAAATGGAAATGCAAAACTGGTCTTGACACGGAGTTGTGTTACGGAATTATGTTGCGACAGTCTGTACAACAAAGGCATTGTTCTATGGTTTTCTCTTGCGAGAATCTTACTTGGTTGCCCCGGTCAAGTGCTCTTAAATTTTCTTGACGGATCACAGTCAGCCTTTCGCTGACTCGAGCCTGACCCGCGAAGCAGCGGGACGGTTTCAGAAACGTAACACAATGACTGCCGGTGCCCAGTTTACCAGCTCATTCACCCTTTGGATGCTGTCAAACTCCCTAGGTACCTGATACACTTCGAAGCCCAATTATATTATATTTCGAACTCGTCTGAGGCTAGATTGTGTACCAGACAAATCATGGTACAATAATCTTTATGAAAAAGAAAAGCGTTCCATAATCTGCATGTAGGCGGACTACTGCCAGGTGTCCCAGGTCAAGGCAGGTGAACTTGAGGAATTCACAACCGGAGACTTTGACTAGCCAAAGCCTGACCCGCAAGACAGCGGGGCGGTGTGTGAAAACCGTAGTCCATTGGGAGCCGGTGTCCTGTTAATCGAATCATACGCCTTTCGGATGGGGTCAAACGTCCAAGCTGCCAAGTTCATTTCGATGCCCAATGGAGCCGGTGACCATTGCCACAATTGGGAAGGTGTGGATGTGGTTCGTTTGGTTGGTTTAGAATCAGGGTTTTTGGCCAACTCCCTTATGGGAACTACCGGTGGTCCACCAACCCGATTATTGCCCCGGATGTCGGCTTTTCGTCCTTTCACTTTGGTGGGAAAACACCACCACGAGAATGCAGTGAGTAGGGCTTCCTCAGCAGAGGCTATTTGAGACGCTTGGTCGTGTGGGAGCATTTCGCGAGATGTAAGGGAAGGGGGACCATCCGCAACCCTAGAAACCCACCCTCGGCCATACTGAGGTTTCGGAGCCCAATCGAGCGAATGACCACTCCCACAGCCAAGTGTGTATGCGGGTAGTACACTTCTTGGTTGGTTTGGGTTTTTACCCAATTATTCTAGTTGAGCTGGCAGGGGTTCACCAAGCCAGTTACAACCCCGGATGTTGATTTTCGTTCTCCCACATTGGTGGGTGAACACCTCAGCCGGTGTAGGTAATGAAAGACTTCATACACAGAGGCATAGACTCTTGATCATACGCAAAAATTTCGATTGGTGCAGACGGATGGTGACCAGTTACAACCCAAGACACCCTTCCCCGGCCATACTGAGACTTTCGGAAGCAGCTGACGTGGCGATCGAATGATATCTTGTTATTCATTCCCAAGTGATTCAGATCAGAAAAGTTTTGAAGAAATAGCATTGTTCTTTCCTCCAGACAGACATCAAGGTAAAGCATCCCCTAGTGCGTTTGTTGGGGGTTCAACACGTTGCCGTCCAGGGCACCATGAATACCTTGGTCCTCAATGTAGACACTATGGTTAAAGTTTGAATGCTGACAAAGTCCCTTTTCACCGTTCTCCTTCACATTCAAACCGTGTCGAATGCAAAATGCATATTGTACTCTACTCACTGAGCCATTTTAAATTATGAAGTTTTTTTTCATTATTTTGTGTACAAATTTGATGAATGAATCAAGTATTGAGATTAATTTCTTCTGATGGTTTTCATTCCAGCTATATTTGTTTTACGTAACTTTCTGTTTCAGTTGGATGAAGATTGTTTGATCCTGTTGCAACGTTTTGATGCGGATGCAGAAGAAGAAAGTAAGAACAACGTAGTTGTACTGTTTACTTGACTTGAATCGTCCAATGCTTCGCGAATAGTAGTTCAACTCCTTCGTTTTACCGTTTCATTTATAGTCAGCACCTCCACTGAGTCCTTTCTGAAAGAATTGGCTTCATGGGATGAAGAGGAAGTGTCTGAAAAGCTTCAGGAGCGTGTGCACTTTTCGAAACGTATCGTCGCTCGGCTTTTGTCTGCGTATGAACGGTAAGCGATGTAAAATCAGGCATCATCGAATCGTTTATACTCTGGATGCCTTTTGTGTTGTAATCGTCATCCATGGATATTTACACACTCAGATCTTATCATGAACTCCATAATCACGAGGACATATTGTTCGATGACAGATCGAAAATCTAAACCTTGGGGTTCTGAGCATAACCTTAGGGTGCTGGTGGCGCGGTGGTTTAGTCGCTGTCGCTGGTGTGCTTTAGACCCTATGGACGAGGTTTGAGCCCCACCACCGCCACCCAACTTTGGTGGTAGGCAGCTTTGCTGTCGTACGGTTCAATACCATGCCTAACCTAACGGGGTCCTGAGTGGTTCACCATTCCAGTCCCGGGGCTTTGGTTACTTTTTTTCATCACTGAACAGCAGGTCCCCGTGACTAAGGGGTTTACTTCGTCTACTGTTCCTCACACTAAGGCGTGCAATAAAAAATCGTCCACTAGAGCAGGCTAGGCATTCAACCGGATTGCAACAAGGTTGCCAGGAATCGGTCCTAAGCTGATTTCGACTAAATGATGTACCGTTGTATTCAATAAAGGTTTTGTATCCATCTTGATTTGAACCGTTCAGCTATAGCCTTCCCAAGAAAGATGGGTTTTCATTTACAATATAATTTGCATAGGGTTCTAAATTTCTTCGGTTTAGTAACTTCTACTGCATTGAAACTACTGTTGCATGATCATCTCTGTGTAGTTGGCTTGACTACTAACTTCGACACTGAATAACAGATTGCCAACCAAATCATCAAGGAACTGCACCACCGCTTGTCTTTCCCCATTATGTGTTCTATGGCAGTCTTTTGATTGGCCGCTTCCTCCTTGAAAATTGTATCTTTTTATATTCAATAAAAGGAAGTAAAATGAAAATGAAAATAAATAAATGAATGTTGACCTGTGCACCTATGTGACCGAACGAGCTACACAGAATAGCTTTTGTAAAGAAAGATCTAGTCAGGCTTGGAACGTCGAAGGATAGAGGTCAGATAAAGTTCAATCTACTGGTTCTCCGGGTTAGGTGTTCGACTCTAGTTGATGTCCAATCGATAAAAAATAGCCTA